GCAAAGGACAAGTAATAAACCAATTAGTAATCCCACAGAAATACAGACCACAAATTCTACACCATGCACACGACCTTACACTTGCAGGACACATGGGAAGAAAGAAAACAAAACAAAGAATTGAAACTACCTTCTACTGGCCGGGCATGGACAAAGACATCTCACAGTACGTGAAGTCATGTCAGACATGCAGGAATAGAGATACCACTAGACCACCCCAAGCCCCATTACAAACCACTGATTTAGCTAACAGACCATTCGAAAAAATAGCGATAGATGTCATAGGACCACTGCCTACCCCATCAAAACGTGGTCACCGATACATCCTCACAATAGTCGACTTTGCAACACGTTGGCCAGAAGCCTTCCCACTAAAGACGATAACATCTGAGGATATAGCAGGCGCCCTACTCACGTTCTTCTCAAGAACCGGGTTCCCGGACACCATACTGTCAGATCGGGGCACACAATTTACCTCCGACTTAACGAGACAACTCACGAGTGTGCTGGGGATTAAGCAAGCATTCACGACGCCCTATCACCCTCAAAGCAATGGCGTGTGTGAACGACTAAACGGCACCATTAAATCGTTACTAGACAAAGTCTCTAAAGACAACCCAGAAAACTGGGATACCATGCTACCATGTATCCTATTCGCCTACCGAGAAATACCTCATTCTTCTACTGGATTTTCTCCATTCGAACTCGTCTACGGCGCCAACCCCAAAGGCCCCATGGATATACTTAGGACACTTCTCTACAAACAGAACATAGAACAAGAAACCAGAACAACATATGAAGCCATTGTCAATCTTAGAGAAAATATAATCAATGCATGCCAGGAAGCAAAGCTCGCGCTACAAGAAAAGGGAGAAATAGCAAGACACAGGGTGAACAGGAATAGAAAGCTACGCCAGTTCACAGTAGGGGAACAGGTGAGAATACTGTTACCTTCTAAGCACAACAAATTACAGCTTGCATGGCAGGGCCCATTCACAATCACAGCCAAAATTTCAAATGTGGACTATCAAGTCGAAATAAAAGGGAAGAAAAAAACGTTTCACACAAATATATTGAGCCCTTACACCTTAAGACCAGAAGAGCTTGAAATTAAACAAACGGCAACAATAAACTGCGCAGAGTTACACGAAGATGACACAGACTCGATCGGCAAAATATACACATTACCTACTAGCAAGGAAACATGGCAAGATATCAAAATCGGCAGAATGCCGCCAGAAATCGAAAAAGAAATCAAGGAAATATTAGAAAAATTTAAAGAGGTGCTATCCCCACAACCTGGTAAAACAGATACAATCGTCCATGATATTAAGTTGACTTCACTTAGAGCAACCAAAATGCCCGCATACAACATTCCCATACATCACAGAGAAAACGTACAAAACCAAATCCAAGAATTATTACAAGCGGGAATAATAGAACATTCCGACTCCTCATATGCTGCACCTATTGTATTAGTAAAGAAAAAATCCCACGACCTTAGACTGTGTATTGATTACAGACAACTGAACAGCATTACAATACCAGACGCAGAACCAATGCCAAATCCAGAAGACTTATTTGCTAAACTTAAACAGGCTAAATACTTTACAAAGCTTGACTTATCCAGGGGTTATTGGCAGATACCAATAAAAGAAGATGTGAGACACCGAACAGCCTTTATAACACCATTTGGCTTGTTCCAGTGGAAGTACATGAGTTTCGGGCTAATGAACGCACCGGCTACCTTCAACAGACTCATGCGAAAAATACTACAGGGTCGAGACGATCTCATATCCTACTTGGATGACATATGTCTGTTCCACAATACCTGGCAAGAGCATGTGAGAGGACTGGAAACGCTGCTGGAAATATTAAAGCAGCATGGACTCACTGCTAAACCTAGCAAAATAGAAATAGGAATGGAAGAGATAGAATTTTTAGGTCACTCCATTTCACAAGGTCAACAAAAGCCACTCCAACCTACAGTGAATAAAATACTGAACATAAACGTGCCGACATCAATTAAAGAGGTCCGTAGCTTGATCGGTCTGTGTAACTACTATAGGAAGTTTATACCCAATTTCGCCACCATCATAGAGCCACTAACGAATTTAACAAAAACGGACAAAAAGAATAAGAAACTACTGTGGACAGAAAAATGTGAAACAGCACTAAACAGGGTAAAACAAGCATTCGCATCGGAACCTATTCTCAGATTACCAAATACAGATCAACCCTTTATCCTCTGCACGGATGCCTCTTCGGTCGGTATAGGTGCATGTCTGTTACAAGAATTTAACAATGAACTCCACCCAGTTCAATACATTAGCCGAAAATTGTCGTCAGCTGAGAAAAACTACGCAGTCATTGAGAAAGAATGTCTGGCCATAGTCTGGGCCATAAACAAGTTTGCCAGATACCTGGCCGGTGCACACTTCACTTTACAGACCGACCACGCGCCCCTACAAGCACTAAAAACAAAGAAGCTGTCAAACGCAAGACTGGTACGCTGGGCACTGAGCTTACAAGATTATCAATTTGACATTGTTCCTGTCCCCGGCACACAAAACGTGTTGGCCGACACGCTGTCACGCAACTAGAACATAGGTCATACAACTCTGGTCATCAAGAATGTTAGGAATCTAAGTCGCCGAGAAATCGGCGTGAAGTAAAAGTCAGAACTGAAGCCAAAGAAGTCATTTAAAGTCAATCGAGGTCAGTCAGCGATGTTTATGAAGTCAGTGATGTCGTTGGAACCTTTGAAGTCATATTGAAGTTGTTGAAGTCAAAGTGAAGACGTTTAAGTCGTCGAAGTTTAAGTCAGTCAGTGAAGTCTTTTAAGTTGAATTGAAGTGAAGTCGTCGAGGTCAAGTTAGTCTTCAAAGTGAAGTTAGTCGTCAAGTTGAAGTAATTGAAGTCGTCAGAGGAAATCAGTCGTTAAATTGAAGTCAGTCACGTTACTGAAGTCAAAGTGAAATAAGTGAAATTACTGAAGTCAGTTAAAGTGAAATAAGTCAGGTTACTGAAGTCATAAGTGAAGTCAGTCATTAAGTCAAGCCAGCCAGTTTTTGTCAGAAGTCAGATAGTGAGAGCTGCTCCACTATATGATTACGTGTTCAAATGTTATTTGAAACGGCACGATTATTTATATACACTTACATGTCTATTCTTTTTTGTGAAGCTATTTCTAAGCTCTAGTAGTGTTTACGTCTATTGAGTTTATTAGGCTTTACAGATTGTTGTTAGATTAGAGTGTACTGATTTTTTATTTGGTTTGTTTGTAATGTTATTTTTGTATGCTGTATGTACCGCCAGACAAGTGTTCAGCACGTTTAAATTTGGGATTGAGGTTTTTTTAATGGAAGGTACCTCTGTCTGAATACTTGTCTGCGCGGGCACTAAGATGGTCACGTAAAACCATTGCTCATGGTCTCGTAATACAATTTCAGACCCACTACGCTTATTCAGAATGAGACGAGATGAAGCAGACACTTCAAAGAATGCCGCCACCTGAAGCCCTGATTACGTTGAATTACCTGGACAGCGAACAGCCTTGCTTAACAGAGAATTGCCCTGGTCAAGACAACGGACGCATCGCCACCGCTTCGCCCCAACCTGTGGTTGAATAACAGACCGCCAGCTACGTACACCTACGTCGGCACATACAAAGGGTAGACGACCCATCGTCCAAGTTCCCAGCGTCGGAATGTTGCGTCATTGTTCGCCACCGCATCGGACAGCTCCAGTTCATCATATAACCACTCTACGTGGACGTCTCAACCAGCGTTGAGATGAGATTGTTGCGTCATCACATTGACCAACGAAAGTTACGCCTACACCCGCCTCACGGGAATTTACGTCGACCAACGCCACAACCCACCCACCACAGAGGAACGCCAGCGATTACATAACACTTACACAAACACACTGCTCGCTGAGCCCGTTCAACCAGTTACACATTACCACTAAGATTGGCTCAAGGCCAGTACAGGACAACCTAGCCAGAACTGAGTTACATATGATTAGATTCACACATACTATAACATAGACATACATTATCAAGCAGAGACACCACAGATGTCAGGATACTTACACAAGATCTAGAACAATGACATTTTCTTTTTTTCAGGAACACAAGATTTTATGTATTTGTAAACTGTGCTGTCCCATTTTGTTTTGATTTTTATGATTGATGTTAGGGATAGAATAGAGTAGTAAGATAGATAGTTGTTGATGTATTAGATTAGTAGCAGACGCTGAAAAATATAATTTGTCAGCTACAGAAAGGGAGGGAGATATGTGATGACGCAAGATTACGTCAGACATGTTTAGCAGATATAGGTTAGCAGAAACAGACTATAGACCATAGTTGGTTGGTCAGATAGAGGCCAATGGGCGCACAGGGCTGACCGGTCACATGGGACGGTCAGCTGACCACTGAGGCGTGGGTCAGTAGAGCGATGGGCCAGAAGGGTTAGGTAGCGGTCAGAGACGGCCGAGGAATGTAGACAGTTAGGAGTTCATGATTAGCTAGCGAGGTAGAAGGTGTGAGATTGTAGAATGTAGAGAACAGTTAGTGTTAGGATTGGTCGTGGGAGTTAGTAGTATAGTGAACAGTCAGTAGTAGAAGTAAATAGTACAGTGTAGATCAGTTAGGTAGAAACTTGAACATATATATCATTTTAATAAAGAACAATTATAGTTGAACTTGAACTGCGTGTTGTTGGATTCATTCGTTACCGCCTTCATAAAAATCCCCACCCTCACACTGACCTACAGGTTATCATCATACCAGACTTATAGAGTGGGTCAGAATTTGGGTTAAAGATTTGCCCCAATCACAAATGAACAAATTATGAAGTAAATAAAATGTCATTGTTTAGACTGCTTTAGATCAAAATGTATGCCTTCCTAGTTTTGTTGTATGTCATCTAAAAACTTATGAGAAAACAGTTAAATGTGTATATTTTAGTAATAAATATTTTTTTTTTACTCAGAAAAGAAATGGATAATTGGGATCCTATAAAAGAATCTTTTGAAGATATTTCCTTCAACAGCTACAATCAAGGGGTAGGAAAAGATTTGGCTGAGTAAGATTTTTTTTCTTATGTAAAAAAACTAGACCACAAAGTAAATCAGCAGGAAAGTGCATATATACACCCCACTCTCTACTTTTTGTCACCCCACAGCTCCAATCCTTTGGGCACTCCTCTCCCACCAACTCCATTACTGACACCTTAGACCTCACCTACTATACTCCCCAGCCAAGTCCTACTTTTTTTTTTCTACTCAACAGATAAACTACAACACACCAGTACATCACACACACATTACAATACGGATCTATTTCATTCAATTAGCTTGCTTCTTATGTAATTATTGGGAAAGCATGTTTAAAGAAGCAGCAATAACAGTCACTTTTGACCCCCCCCCCACTTACTATATTCCACTGCAGACCCATACTAGTCCACCATTTGACCAAAAGCCACTCTCCAAGCACCCACCAGGCCACCTTCTCACAATGTGATACAAAACAGGAGCACAGCCTAACACACAATATGTAATACAATCCTACCTGTCCAAAATGATACATAACACTATTCCTATTACTGATTCAAAATATTAACTTTTGTTTTTTAAATAAGTCTTGAATTCATTGGGATGGTTCTTTTTTCACTAAGACACAATTGTGGAATTTAGGCACACCTAAATGACTGTCAATTGGGAGAGTTAAAAGGCTTGAGTTTCGCAAGACATGCTAACAGTGATTTTCTTAAAATGTTTTCTTTTCTAATAACAGAAGTTAGTAGTTTATATCCAACCACCATAGTCATTGACTGTCTCTGTGTTTCAGGTCAGGCTATAAAAAGCGAATACAATTATATGTGACAAATATCCCACCTACATTAGGAAAGGTAATCATTTGGAAAGATACACGTGTTAATTATATATGTTGGCCTGTATTCCTTAAAGTAAAAAATTATAAAAGACTTGAATGAAAAATAAGCATTTACTTTTATATAGTACATGCTAGTTTGAGTTGCTGTAGCAAACTTAAATAGGTTTTAAAGTAATGTTTAGGCATATACTTAGCACAGTTAAATAAAGTCCAGTTTAATATGTTTTTGTATACCATTCAAGTAGTTACAATTTGTTTAACAGGAAGGTTTTGCAAACCTTTTTTCTGAGTATGGAAAAGTTCTGGATGCTGTTGTGTTCTCTTCACAAACTCATAAAGGGCAATATGGGTACCATTTTTTTTTTTTACTAAAATAAGCCAGTTTAATTATTTTTAAAGTAATTGTACCTTTGTGTTTCAAGTCGATTTTGTATGCTTAGATCTGGTTTTGCAGCTTTGTAACAATGGAGAAGACAGAAGAAGCAGCATTGGCAATAGAAAAATTAAATAAGCGTATTCTTGAAAGGACTTATACATTGAATGTCTCTATTGCACTGACCAAGGATGAAAAGGAGAAAAGAAAAAAATTGGTAAGATTTTTCTTAACTTTGTTCTAAAAACCATAGCCATTTAAAATCATCCTCTTTTTAAAAGTTTTTAAGGTCCTAAGATTTTAAAGTTAGCAGTTTTGTTACAATTCACATAGCTTATATAATAAATAACTAGCTTTGATAAGTTTAAATTCTTTAATCTTTAAGGACAAGCTAATAACATTTATATTGTCACTCTCAGAGATACAATAACTGAAATATTGCTGTAGGAGATAATTAAAAATAGCAATGTTACATAAAGGTGGCTAACTAGATCGTATTTAATATTTATATCATTTATTATGTAGCGATCTGAAATGGATTACAAGTCCAGCAGTAAAGAAAAAGATGATGTATCATCTGTGCGAAGTTATTCATCTAGGGTAAATTTTTTTTCTTTTTGAGTTTTATCTTTACCTTTATAGTGCAAAATCTTACAATTTGTTTCATTACCTCTATTGCAACACTTTGCATAAAACACTCATATGTGTTTTAGCATGATAAAATTTTTTATTTATTCTTTTCAGACCACAGGATCTTCCTCTGCTAGAGATTCACTTTCAAGGTACACATGTTAAAAAGAAAGAAAACAGCATTTGTATATGTGTTTTAACATCTCAGTAACACTTTTCTATCTACAAGAAATGCTATCAGTTTTGAAGGATGTTTATTTATTAAATCAAACCTTAGATGCCAATTCTGTCTTATTCCAACTACTCTATAAAATCTGCTGCTGTGTAATTTATTAGACTCGTTAAGCTAAATGGGTTTTTTTTCTGTATGTGGCTTTAAACTTTACTTAGTATATATCTTACGTTTTACCATAACTTTAATTCATATTAATTATATAAACATATTTAATACTTGCTTTTTATTTTTTGACAGGAATTTTTCAGGACAAACATCAGGTTTGTTTATGACATTGCTATTTAACATGTTTAATTAAGTAATTAGAAGGGAGCAGGTTTTTTTTAAATGTGGGGCTTTTTATTTTTGTAAACATCCTACAAATTTACTTGTTAACTTGAGTTCTTGTCCAAAAAAATTTCCATTTTTACTTTCTCGTATATACGTAGTATAGAGAAAGTATTGTAATCGTGCAAAAAAAAAAAATCGAGATTTTTACAAATCTCGACGTTTTACACCTCACTGATACGGAAAAACATAATTTTGCAATCTTGTCCGTATGTCTGTGTGTGTGTGTGTCTGTGTGTGTGTCTGTCCGTGTGTAAACACGATAACTTGAGTACCGTTACAGCTAGGTTGATGAAATTTCATATATAAGTATTTTATCAAAATCGTAGATCCGTATCAACTTTTGAGCGATTTCCGATAACCGGAAGTGGTACTTTTCCTACTTTGAATTTTTTAAAAGCCTATAACTTGAGTACTATTTCAGATAGATAAATGAAATTTCACATGTAAGTAAAAGATCTAATTCTCTACCTTCTGTTAAATTTTGAGTAATTTCCGTTGACTGGAAGTAGTAATTTACGCTACTTCCGATTTCTCAAAAAACTAATGTAAATTTTAAAAGTACTAATAATATTGCGCACTATTATGCGCTTTTTTTATTTGCGTTCACTTGGTGTGCAATTAATTTGTCTACGAGAGATTTTATTCTATTTTTAAAACTTTAAGTATTTAAAATGGATTAAAAATCATGTCTATAGCCCGAGTTTCCATCCCCTGTTATTTTATATAAGAATATTCGAGAAAGTTTAGGGGAGATCACTCCCGGTTTATTTTTCATTGTCTAGTCACATCCATGCATTATATACAGAAGGGAAGGACAATGTTACTTGTTAACTGTTAAATCATTGACCTCTTGTTTTATCAAGATGAAAATTCCATTATAGACAGAAGTGAAAGACAATCCCTATCAAAGACTGCTTTAGAAGATGAGAGAAAAAGTATCAACCCTGTAGGCAGTATAGGGCGTGGTCAGTTAGGAGCATTGATAAACAAAGAATCAATTCTGTTTCAAAAAGACAGAGGTTCTCAGAATGTTGGCAGAGGGAGAGGAGGTAACTCATTATTCATATCAATAACTAACCTCAATAGATACCAGAGCTAAGTTTAATACATACCAGAAGAAACTTCAATACATACCAGAATAAACTTCAATACATACCATAACAAACTTCAATACATACCAGAACAAACTTCAATACATACCAGAACAAACTTCAATACATACCAGAACAAACTTCAATACATACCAGAACAAACTTCAATACATACCAGAACAAACTTCAATACATACCACAACTAACCTCAACACTTCCACCATTAGCATAATTTTTCACCAAAATCACCAAAAATTAAATCTTGTTCTGCATGCATCAAAATTTTTTTACTATCTTAAAAATATGTAAACAATGTTGAGTTTAAATTGCATTTAATCTATTTATTGGATGTACATACTGTGTAAATATTTGTTCTCTATTTTGTGATTAGGGGGGGGGGTGTTAAAATGGATCGCTTTAAGTTTAGAGTTGTTATAGGTTAAGTAGCTGTGCTTGTGGTCCGCTTTGATGGTCAAAATTTCTATTATATTATGTATGACATCTCCTAAGTCTTCACCAGGGGAATGGCATGTATGATCTATATCTCTTCATCAGAGCTGAATAAAAAATAATAACTTTTTTTACACATAAAGTAAAAACAGCTATATTTCTAATGTATAGATTATAATCATACTTTGATTTGATGGTTTATTTTAATTTTAATATGGTTAGCTTCTGAATCACTTGATAATGCTGTACAATTGTCCATGTTTTAGTTCTTTATGACTTAACAAGGCTGCAAGTTTAAAAGGCTGCAAGTTTTTTTTTTTTTTTCTTTAGCTCCTTTTGGTCATCAGGATGAAGTAGGTCAAACACCTACTGGACTAACTAGCCTCATTGGTTTGTCAGGAAATGTCCACAATACCGGGCATAAGGATGGAACTAGTATCATGAAATCCTTTCTGGCTCCAGGTAAGTTTAAACTGTAAATAATCACTTACTTTATTTGTTTAGTTTTTGAGTAAGATGCTTTAAAATGTTTCTATTGATTGTATACTTCCAGGAGCAAAAATCAATGAAGTTCCCAATGAAAAATTGTGCTTGTATTGCCACAAAGAAGGTAATTTTTTACATTTTAAAATACTCTTTTACATTGTTTACACAATATTACCCCAGGTACACATTGTTTTTGGTTACAGGATGTTAGTATATGCCATAACCAAATTTAAATACACTATTTAAATCAAGACAAAAAGATGTCAAGAACATCAGCATTCATTCTTCTTGTCATATTTCCATACCTGTAAATACAGTATTTCTCTTATGAAACAAGTGCAAGAAGGCAAACAATGCCGCCTTAAGTTGTCAGGTTTAGTTTTTATTTTCCAATCTATCTTGTCAATGCTAAAGTTAAAAACTTAATCTACATTGTGTGATTTACTGTTTTTGTAAATTTTCCTGTCCCATTCAACTCTTTTAGTGGTTTTACACTATGTGAATCTTTGTCTTCGCTGCAAGTTATTCTATTGTTCTATTTTGTTGTAGGTTGTGTGAATTTTTGTTCTCACTGCAAGTTATAATTTTGATCTATATTGTAGGTTGTGTGAATCTTTGTTCTCACTGCAAGTTATAATTTTGATCTATATTGTAGGTTGTGTGAATCTTTGTTCTCACTGCAAGTTATAATTTTGATCTATATTGTAGGTTGTGTGAATCTTTGTTCTCACTGCAAGTTATAATTTTGATCTATATTGTAGGTTGTGTGAATCTTTGTTCTCACTGCAAGTTATAATTTTGATCTATATTGTAGGTTGTGTGAATCTTTGTTCTCGCTGCAAGTTATACTACTGTTCTCCTGACTGTCAGAAAAAAGACTGGCCAAAACATAAAAGTATATGTGCTATTGTGGGGTAAGTTAACCTTACTTCTCATTCAAGAGTATGCAATATTTTAATGAAATAATAGATATCTGTAAGTTAACGTATTATTACCTCTGGGTTCAGGGAAGCAAGGAGTGAAGCGAGAGATACAACCATGCCTCAGAAACATGACAAGGGAGACTTTCCTGAGACAGATGTTGATGCTGGTCAGTCAAACATGCTGAGGACAAAGGGCAACAAAAGTAACAGAACTTATGAAAGTGATTCTGAATTTGGGAGCAGAAAAAAATCTGGCAGGTTTAAAACATTTAAGAAAGACAGAGAGTCATCAGCAAAAAGTTTCCATAAACAAAATAGAAATTCTGCTCCACAAGCCGAAGAAGATAAATTTCCATACAACTGCGTCACTCTAAATAAGGGCGATGAGGGACAGGTAAGTTAAAAACTTAGCCTATCATACATACAGAAAAAAATATGTGTGTGTTTATACGCAGTTTATTTTTTACAAATTCACTGACTCAATTTCTATATAAAAAGATTATCTAGAATATTTTTTTAAAATGCAGTAGACACCTATCCCAATTAATTTCTATAAGTTTTCTAGGGCAACTAATGCAAATGTGTTAAAGTTTTTTTGTCTTTAGTGTAAATAAATCTCTATACAACTATAAACTATACAATATGACATTTAACGCTTCTAAATTTCCTTTATTCTTCAGGGGTTTGTAACCTATTATGAAACACCTAACAAATTTTGGATCATTCTGCAAGCTTATTTGGTTGAACAAGAGGAGCATACAAATCTTATGGCTAGTGTAAGTGCTGTCTATTTGTGTTCACACTGATCAGCATAAAAATATTACAGCATGTGGATAAGGATTTAAAAAATGGAAGATACATAAGGGCATGAAGAAAAGGAAAACTTTATCCCAGCATGGGTTGTTAGACCCAGGCTCAGCTCATTTATTACATTCTTCTGACCTTACTTCCCTATCAAACTAAATGTCTCTTACTACTACACTTATTCCAATCAAGCCATACTTGCATATATTTACAGTTTAACAAAAAAGATGGACCCTAAAATAAAACATGTATTCTATTATCTACTTCAACATGTAGGCTTACTCAGCAAGTTCTACTAATTAGACTAATTAAAGCTACACATCTTCACATGACAACACTTTTCATGTACTTCCCACTTCTACCCTCTCTAGCATCCCCCCCTCTTGATGTTATGTAACCATTCATGTGTGAAACTTTCCACCCTTTGCTTGAGCTGTCTTTATTTGAGACAATTGATCTTTAGAAATGAGAGGATAACAGAAATGGTATTCCCATACTTTCCTCAGTGGGGTCAGAAGCTGTACTCACCTTATCTTTGTTTAAAACCTCACTGGTTCTTTCTATTTTAGACATTGCAAGCTGCATGTAATGCTCCAGTGCAACCAAAAATAGGGGATTTATATGGCACACTGCATTTGGGGGAATGGAAAAGAGTTAAAGTTGAATCTATGAAGGGTCAAGAAGTAGTAGCCTTTTATATTGACTACGGCTATAGTGACACTGTTAAGATAGAAAACTTGAGGCTGCTGACACCAGACACCTTAGCACTACCAGCACAGGTAGGTGGAAATGTTCTTTCTCTCATTATTGAGATGCCCCAAACTGTTTGTAATTCCTTACATGGTTGTTTGGGTCAAACTTTTCCTAATTAATTTATTAATGTTAAACTTATGACTGTTCTACACTAATGTTAAACTTATGGCTGTTGTACACTAATGAAGTGTTAAACTTATGACTGTTAACACTAATGAAATGTTAAACTTATGGCTGTTCTACACTAATGTTAAACTTATGGCTTTTGTACACTAATGAAATGTTAAACTTATGGCTGTTCTACACTGATGTTAAACTTGAATTTTTCAGGCAGTTTGTTGTTCTGTACACAAGTTTACATCTAACATCGTCAATGACAAGGCTTGTCTGGCAATCAAGCAATGGTTTGGTAAACCAATGACAAAATGTCTCAAATTTAAAGTCATGGCAGTAGAAAATTCTGTGTATGAAATGCAACTTTTTATTGATAAAGGTAATTTCATTCCCCTAAAGTGACATACTTTTTTGTTCGTTTTTTATTACAAAATGTTAAATGTTCACGTTTTTTAAAACTGAAAATTGTGTTTTTTAGAATCTGTTACAGACATGCTTGCATCAAAGGGGCTAAGTCATTGTTTAACAGAGCAGCAGAAGAAGCCTGCTAACAGTTTCAGCAGTTTTAAATCAAAAGTAGCTGAAGGTTCACAGAGGTAAGTTTTAAGAACAGATAGAAATTTGTCTTATTTTAATCCATCTAGCTTTGAGCAACTGACCTAAATTATTGAACATTTGTTTTAACACATTCATGCATTCTTTTAGACTGATGGTCACCAGTCTGAAAGATGGAAGAAATGATCTAAAGAGGGGCGATGAGATCCAAGTTCTCTTCACTGATATTACGTCTGTGGATCAGTTTGCTGCTTTAAATAAGGATTCTCACATCCACATCCCACTCATCACAGAGCTAATGCAACAAGAGGAGACCAGAAGCAAGGTAGCATACAGGTAACATACATTTGTGACATATGTAGCCGCTATTTTCTTAAATCTCTTCTCTGGTGGACACTCCAACAATAGATAATGCTGGCCACCCTGACAATGTAATGCTGGCCACCCTGACAATGTAATGCTAAAGATAATGCTGGCCACCCTGACAATGTAATGCTGGCCACCCTGACAATGTAATGCTGGCCACCCTGACAATGTAATGCTGGCCACCCTGACAATGTAATGCTGGCCACCCTGACAATGTAATGCTGGCCACCCTGACAATGTAATGCTGGCCACCCTGACAATGTATTGCTGGCCACCCTGACAATGTAATGCTGGCCACCCTGACAATGTAATGCTGGCCACCCTGACAATGTAATGCTAAAGATAATGCTGGCCACCCTGACAATGTAATGCTGGCCACCCTGACAATGTAATGCTAAAGATAATGCTGGCCACCCTGACAATGTAATGCTAAAGATAATGCTGGCCACCCTGACAATGTAATGCTAAAGATAATGCTGGCCACCCTGACAATGTAATGCTAAAGATAATGCTGGCCACCCTGACAATGTAATGCTGGCCACCCTGACAATGTAATGCTGGCCACCCTGACAATGTAATGCTAAAGATAATGCTGGCCACCCTGACAATGTAATGCTGGCCACCCTGACAATGTAATGCTGGCCACCCTGACAATGTAATGCTGGCCACCCTGACAATGTAATGCTGGCCACCCTGACAATGTAATGCTAAAGATAATGCTGGCCACCCTGACAATGTAATGCTGGCCACCCTGACAATGTAATGCTAAAGATAATGCTGGCCACCCTGACAATGTAATGCTAAAGATAATGCTGGCCACCCTGACAATGTAATGCTGGCCACCCTGACAATGTAATGCTGGCCACCCTGACAATGTAATGCTGGCCACCCTGACAATGTAATGCTGGCCACCCTGACAATGTAATGCTGGCCACCCTGACAATGTAATGTTGGCCACCCTGACAATGTAATGCTGGCCACCCTGACAATGTAATGCTGGCCACCCTGACAATGTAATGCTGGCCACCCTGACAATGTAATGCTGGCCACCCTGACAATGTAATGCTGGCCACCCTGACAATGTAATGCTGGCCACCCTGACAATGTAATGCTGGCCACCCTGACAATGTAATGCTAAAGATAATGCTGGCCACCCTGACAATGTAATGCTAAAGATAATGCTGGCCACCCTGACAATGTAATGCTAAAGATAATGCTGGCCACCCTGACAATGTGATGCTGGCCACCTTGACAATATAATGCTAGGGATCCATCTTGTGTGCAGGCCAGTTGCAGGAGAGCTTGTGATAGCCAAGTTTTCTGGAGACCAGTGCTGGTACAGATGTCAAGTGCTGCATGTTGATGAAGAAAATTGTGCCTTGTACTTCATTGACTTTGGCAATTCTGAAATTCAAAGTTTGGACAACATCCGACAAGCCACCAGTGAAAAGGTTTTGGAGATTCCTGTCCTAGCTTTGAAATGTGCACTGTATGGTGTGAAAGTACCAGACAATATATCAGCTGATTGTGTTGATAAGGTAAGAATGGTTACACTGTGGTTTCATTTTGTAAAGTAAGAATCTGAACCTTAAGTACATGAACTTTAAGATTTGTATTGTGTTTTCTGCTAATCATAACATGTTGGATTAATTTTATCACTGAAGAACTATTTAACGCTTGAATGTTGATTACTAAGGAATGAAAATAGGATTAAATTTTGTATTCCAAAATGTGTGGCACCATAAAGCTTTTAATATTCCTCTGGTGTCTTTCTTTATGTACTTAAAAAGATTTATGAATCCTGAGCATCTAAGTGAAAATTAATTCATTACTTTAACTTTGTTCAAGGGGCTAATTGTAATATGTTTTAATTTCTAGGAATTTAAGTCGATCCTGAATGACTTCCAGAAGGAAGAATGTACAAGCACTCTACTAGTTAAAGAGAATGCAGCAAAACTAATGGTAGATGTTCTGTCAAAAACCAGGAAGTCTTTATCTGATGAGCTTAATAAAAGACTTGTAGAACTGAGTGCTGAAAAATTGCAACAATTAAAAAAACGAAACAACAATCGAGGCAGCTCTAGGTTGTCAGATTCAGTTCCACAAGCTTGCAAGCTAGCACAGTCCAGCCTAAAGACAGAGGTGGCTACAGACATTAAAACAGAGAGTCTCCCACTGGGGCAGAAAATACGTGTCAATGTCTCATTTGTCAATAACTGCAGTGATTTCTATGTGCGACTAGACAGCAATAATGAAAAGTTTAAAAGCATGATGAAGGATTTAAATGAAAGCATATCCTCAGCACCAGCTGTAGCCCGCCCATCTGTTGGGTGTTTTGCTGGCGTCAAGTTCAGTGTTGATCATGTCTGGTACAGAGGACGAGTGGAGAAAATGTACGGGGACGAGTGCCAAGTTCTCTTTATAGACTACGGCAATACTGAGAGAATGCTGGTGTCAAGTCTAAGAGAAATCCCACAAGGACTTGACTCACTGCCTGCACAAGCCATTCACTGTCAACTAGATGGCAAACCTGAAATGTTCACCACACAGGCTCATGATAAGTTTAAAAAGTTTGTAGAGAATGAGATGGTGGACATTCAAGTGCTGAGACAGGACCAGAATGGCTTCTCTGTACAGATGTTTGCACCTGATGGGGCTGACATACTAGCATTACTTGTTGGGGCTTACAAAGTAAGTTAGGTGTAGTCTTATTACTTGTTGGGGCTTACAAAGTAAGTTAGGTGTAGTCTTATTACTTGTTGGGGCTTACAAAGTAAGTTAGGTGTAGTCTTATTACTTGTTGGGGCTTACAAAGTAAGTTAGGTGTAGTCTTATTACTTGTTGGGGCTTACAAAGTAAGTTAGGTGTAGTCTTATTACTTGTTGGGGCTTACAAAGTAAGTTAGGTGTAGTCTTATTACTTGTTGGGGCTTACAAAGTAAGTTAGGTGTAGTCTTATTACTTGTTGGGGCTTACAAAGTAAGTTAGGTGTAGTCTTATTACTTGTTGGGGCTTACAAAGTAAGTTGAGTGTAGTCTTATTACTTGTTGGGGCTTACAAAGTAAGTTGAGTGTAGTCTTATTACTTGTTGGGGCTTTGGACACATACAAAGTTAGTTGAGCATAGTCAGCTAAGTTAAGTTATAGCAATGCATATTGAAGTAAACCTTTCTCAGCGTTTAGTATTATTTAATTTTACAGTTATTTCTGTAATATTAGCTTTTCCCCCCAGGTAATTCCAGAAGAAGCACCCAAGAAGATATCCAATCTAGTTTTAGAAAATAAGGTGCCATTGAAAGTAGAGTGTGTCAATATGATGAGTGCATCCCAGTTTTATGTTCAAGTCTGTGACCATGTGACTTCAATAGCAGAATCTATGATTGGGTTAAATAAACGTTTACAAGACAAGGCAGAAGTGTTGAGGACAGTGAGTGTTGGAGACTTTGTTGCTTCTGGCTTCAGCCAGGACGAGGAGCCTATCTGGTATCGTGTGAGAGTAGACGGTGTTAGAGGTGACAAGTGTTCAGTATTCTTTGTGGATTATGGCAACTCTGAGGAAACATTGAAGTCTTCTCTCAGGAAATTATCTGAGGAAGATTTTATTTTACCTGCCTGCACCATCAAATGTCGCCTTAATGGCTGCACTAGAGCTGATGCAGAAATGGATAAAAAGTTTGCAACTTTAGGACAGAACATGGTACTTTTTATTTTTTTTTGTGTGCTAAAAGTTATTGAGAAAACATAATGGTTTTATACCTAACATGATTAAGATGAACTACTGATTTGATTAAAGTAAACAAATATCTGCTGAAATCTGTTTTTTATAGGAGAAAGTTGAAATGAATTAGTCTGTGTATTTTGAGTGTGTTCTCTAAATAACTGCTACTGATACAACTGTTGACAGATTGACAGCATCCAGGTGGTTAGTCAAACTGCTGATGAATATATTGTTGATGTCTTAGACTGTGATGGTAAATGCATCACAGAAATGTTTTTACCCAAAGCTTTGCCCCAGACAAAGCAAGAGGTGAGTACTTTAGATTAAATGCATTCCTACTGTCCTAGAGCAGTGAGTGAACTCAAGTCATACCATGAACAGCTGTTTGTAATGATTTCTTGTTTGCAGGTAAAAATGGAAAAGACGAGCCCAGTGACCGGTGTAAAAGAGCACTGTATTGACCAGATGACATTACCCAATACAGCTGAGCTTGTCCCAGTCTTTGTCACTCACATTGATTCCTGTTCAAGTATTTATGTCTGTAGGAGAGATCTGAACTTTGAATCTGATCTACTGGAGCTGATGATTGAGTTGAACAAGGTCTCCGGCTCAATGCCGTTAGTGAAAGATCTGAAAGTTGGCATGAAGTGTGCGGCCAGGTTTAGCCAGGACAGCAGCTGGTACAGAGCCCAAGTGCTGGAGATACTCAACTCAGTCACAGCCGTTGTCCAGTTCATTGACTTTGGTAACTGTGAAGAAACTCTGAGAGCAGATCTTCGAGTGCTGGATCCATCCTTCACAAAACTGCCCCAGCAAGCTATCAGGTGCTGCTTGTTTGGCTATGAAACACAACTGGGATCCCACTCACCCCCATCAAGTCCAGAGTTGATGAAAAAGTTAAAAGCAGACCTACTGGAGCAGCAAGTCAATATTAAAATAGTCAAACAAATTGCTGATACATGGGTTGTCAGCATTGAAAATGAACATGGTGAATCCATAAGTGGGGTATATCAGGTACAATTATATTTTGTCTTTTATAAAACTCCAATAACCATTCCATTATTAATAACTTAAGCTATTTGAAATAAATAATCTGAAAAAGTAATTGCTGGTTTATTTCCCTTTGATGTTGTAGCCCCCATCATCTGTGAGTGTACCTGTGCCACTCCTGTCAGACCTCATCACTGAAACACCTTCTGAAAGAGAATTTGATGTCATCTTCTGTCACATTGAAAGTTTCAGTGAATTTTATTGTCAAAGATTGAAACATGAAGGTCAGCTCTAACGGTTACTTAATTCACTTCTTAGTACTTCATTGTGCTTCTTACTTAAAAATTACTTTCTAGGACTACTGTTATTGTTGTGTTCCCTCTAAGCAGCCGTACTTTCATTTTGTTTCTTGAGGATTAAAAATGTTTTTTCAGTTTTTCTACTTAAAGCCATTTGATACATAATAAAACATGCAAGTAGTAAAAAATGATCTTACTTGAGTCTTGTCACCACCCATGATTTTAAACTTCAGAGGTCCTGGAACTGCAGATGTTGGGAGAGAAGATTGCTGAAGATGTAGCTCAACTGGCTGCTGTTGGGGAGCCCATTGTAAATGGTGTTTATGCTAGTGAGTTTTATGGCAGCTGGTACAGGTGTGTTGTCTTGGAGGTGAGTCACAAGATTTTAATCAACCTTTCATTAGCTGCTCTTTACAAGTGTGACAGTATGTTCCCATAGAGTTACAAGATTTTAATCAACCTTTCATTAGCTGCTCTTTACAAGTGTGACAGTATGTTCCCATAGAGTTACAAGATTTTAATCAACCTTTCATTAGCTGCTCTTTACAAGTGTGACAGTATGTTCCCATAGAGTTACAAGTTTTTAATCAACCTTTCATTAGCTGCTCTTTACAAGTGTGACAGTATGTTCCCATAGAGTTACAAGTTTTTAATCAACCTTTCATTAGCTGCTCTTTACAAATGTGACAGTATGTTCCCATAGAGTTACAAGATTTTAATCAACCTTTCATTAGCTGCTCTTTACAAGTGTGACAGTATGTTCCCATAGAGTTACAAGTTTTTAATCAACCTTTCATTAGCTGCTCTTTACAAGTGTGACAGTATGTTCCCATAGAGTTACAAGTTTTTAATCAACCTTTCATTAGCTGCTCTTTACAAGTGTGACAGTATGTTCCCATAGATTTACAAGTTTTTAATCAACCTTTCATTAGCTGCTCTTTACAAATGTGACAGAGTATGGTCTGCATAAAAGTTTGTTTATATTTAAAATTGTTGCTAGTTGTAATAGCCATAAAAAAGTTTCAGCTAAATAGAACAAGAATGTATTTAAATGATTGCATTTGTCAGCTTCACAGCACCAAAGCACTTATCAAATATATTGATTATGGAAATGTGGAACTGAAGGAAATAAGTGAACTACGACCGTTATCCAGTGAGAGATTATCTTTACCTGTAAGACTCATCAAGTGCAAACTTTATGGTTAGTCTAACTTTTTATCAATTCATGTGCAGATTTTTCCAACTTGTTGGTGCTTTCTCATCAAATCACCAATGTACAGGCCTATGTGTAACTTTTGATTTCAAAGGACACATTTATTAAATGGCTAAAAAATGAATCACCTTATACAAATGTCTTATTGTAAAATCTTGCCACTACCAGAAAAAGTGGTGATCTTCATACAAATACGTCTTGTATTTTGCTCCCCAAAGACATATAAAAACATTTATTGAAGTCACTAGTAAGTAAAAAAGTGAATAGCAATAGATTTATTTTTCATTATTTATTTTTAGAATAAAATCAGAATAACTTTTTAGATTCTGCATAAATTGTGAAAATTATGTTAAATGACCTATGCTCATCTTTTTTATTTTACTCAAGTTTCATCTTTTAAAACTATTTTTATTAACTTAACATTTTTGTTGTTTAATAATTTCTTATACATTTCTAGAATCTATCTGCATTCAGTAATTAAAAAAAATGTTGACACATTTATTTGAATGTATTCAAATGCGGAGTCTTCTGGCTTTAGATGCATGTATTGATACCAGTTGAACATGACAGGTTTTACTGCATATTATTGTCATTGTAGGTGTTGAGCCAGTGTATCCCCAGTGGAAGAGTCCAGAAGTTGTAGAATACATTGAAATACTCCGCCAGCGCCATGCACATTTGGTCATAAGAGAAGAGGAAGAAGATATGTATCATGTTTCACTCTTTCTGCTGGAAGGCTCTGAGAAAGTCAATGTGGCTGCAGATCTTGTGGGCATCAAGGTGGCCAAATTTATTGCCCAAGTATGTTTCATTTTTATAAGCTTTTATTTAAACACTTGTCTTTCTTTGGGTTTGTGGCAAATCTTGTTATTCAATTTTGACCCACATCTAATGTAGAGATTTTGTATAAACTTTCCAGATACTTTTGTCTTTGAAGACATAGTAAGAATATCCAATTTTTAATCTAATTAGATATTAATTAATCAATAAAAATGAGTTTAAAGATTATTAACTTCCATAACAAATGGTGAGATAACTAGTGATTATTCAATCTGGGTGATGAAGGGGCAAATAATTGTTTAGAGTTATGAATTGCCAGTTATTAATCTGGGTTTAAAGCAAATATTTTTTATTCTTAAAGTACTTATAAAATTACTGAGTGGTAGAAAATATAACAAAATAGAAACCCTGATGACAACTATTAATAAGCTTTTAAATGCACTGAAAATAAACCAAATTTGATTTCTTTAAAGTCTTGGTCATTATGAAGGTTTTTTTTTTGTTTTATTATCAGTGCTCTGTTTTTTTTTAACTTTTTTTATACCCTTAAGTCTAAGTAGAATTCAATTATTTTTTCAGTTTGATATAGTATATTCTTTTCTACCATTAGACTATCAGTCCGCCCAAAGCCTCCCCAACTCCAAAACAGACTGTGAGCCCTGTAAAAATTGTGAGCCCTCAAAAAGCTGTCACCCCCCAAAAAGTGATGGCACCCCAACAGGCAGTGGCTCCACTACAGATCAGAGGTCCTCAACCAGCTTTATCCCCAAAGCAGCTATTTGAAGAAAAGGATGAAGAGGATGAAGATGAAATCCAACAAAAAATTGAGGAGTTGCAGAGACAACTTGCCTTAGCTAAACTTAAAAAGAAAACAAAAAATTAATCTGATCTGCTTAAAAAAATGAATTATTTATTTCATTCTTGTTTTCTGAGCTAAAAAAAAAAGTCCAGACAAGTTATGGTTAAAATATTTAAGCTTTAAAAAAAACTTAGTTTTTTTAGCCTGTTTGGCATTTGAAACTTTTTCTTTTGTTTATGTTTATGTACAGTTATTTAGCATGTTTGATTTTAAAGCTATCACTATCAGTGTTCATATTTGCATTTTAAAATCATAATAAAAGTTTTTACTTTAAAATTTTTTTTTTTTTTAGTTCAGTGGTTGTGGTACTTGATAGAGGTAGACCAAAGATGTATCTGTAACGACCAGCAGCACACATCTATAAGATACATTCTACTTCTGTTGGTTTTAAATCATTATTTTTCCTACATCCTTGGTATTAAAAAGACTGTCACAAAAAAAAAAAATTACAGACAGTGACTATATATATTACTTAAAGCTGTAATAAAAAATTATCATTTAGTGTTAAAAAAGATAAGGTACCAGCAAAGAAAGAAAGCTAGTTTTGAATCTAGAAAAAAACATGCAAAAATCAACCTCAATTGCCAGCATCATTCATATCATATATATAAAAAGTTAAAATTAAAAGCAGTAGTTTGCGATTATTCTATTTATTTAAAGAAATAGAAATTCCATGAAGTATAGCTTCACAAAAAAACTGATTTTGATATATAACAGTAAACGTTTTGGTAGTAGTGATGAATTGCAAGTCAAGTTTTAAAACAACCCCTAAGAATATAAAACAGACTTAACAGTTGTAAGTCTATGGGGTGAGTTAGTGATGACATGTCTAGTGATCAGCATGCAAGGGAGATGATTTTTTAAGCAGGTTCAAGGGTTATGCTGCCAGAGATGGAGAGTATATTTTTGTTGAGAGCTTATCAGGCACATAGGTGGTGGTATTTTGTGATTGTGCTACACAAATACATGAGCTTTAGTATTTGACATGCATGATGGGAAATGAAAGAAATATTGGTTTACACAACAATTTAACATATTTTTAGTTATTGCATTCATCAATATCAAGAAAGTTAATTTTAGGCAAAATAGTAATAATACAGAGTATAAATTTTCTTTAAAATGACACCAAAATGAAGGTAAAGAATAGCATCACAGAGAGAAAAATGAACCAGCACCTCGGTGATCTAGCAGTTGGCTGTACCAGAGCACAATATAAATATAGAAATTAATGTCACATGGGAAATAAGGGACATTTTAGGGACATACAATCTGCATAGAGATATTTAGTTAAAAACAAATCAATAGAATAATAAAAATCTAATTCAAGAACATAGGATGCTATGTTTTGTAAAATAAAATAACAAATCTAAGTTACATTGTTTTCTACAAACGAAATGTTTAGAATGCTTTTGCAAGAGTGAACACAAGTTTGACAGGAGTTTTCTTACATGAATGGGGTGAATACAATTAGAGGTCTTACAAAGGCAAGACCATGTAACATGGGAATGTGAAAGCAATGACAGTCTAATACTTGAGATTTGTTATGCTTGTGAATTAATTCTATTTAGAAGACAATAACACAACATAGCAAATAATCCAAATCAATTTCCTGGAGACTAAATGAAGACAGCAATATTTAGCTTAGGGGACATCCAGTTATGACGTGCACACGTATTGAATTTTATAAGGGAAATAAGTGGATGGGAAGGGGGGGGGGGTTAAAAAAATTTAAAAATTGTGGATGTCATAAATGGATGACCCCTTAGTGATGATCTCATCCCCATGACCTTGATGCAGAAACTTCTTATAAACATAGTTCACCTCAGTGCACTCAAGAAAATCAATGGTTCATAACTTTTTTGTATGCATACCCCCAGGGATATGTAGAGGTATACAATTCAAACAATGGTAAAATTTAAAAAAAAACTGCTCCACCAGTACAAATTTGAAAGAAAATACAAGTGGGAAAAAATGAGTGTCACCTAATTCAAGGAACTGCCTTGGATACTCTAGCTGATCAACTTTGGAATGTTTACTTATGAATACTTTTTCATAAACACATAGCTAAATTACATTAAGATTACTTTCCACAAATGTAATTAAATTAGTTTTTTTATGGACTCACTGGTAAGGTGTGAAAATATGGTCAAGGGGTATGCAAAAAAAAGTTTGGGAACCATTGATTCCATTGCACTGATTTTACATTTTTGACTGAAAAACCTCAAGAAAAATATCACATAAACAGTCATTAACATTGGAATAAAAGTGTAATAAATATTTAGCAGGCACATCAAAGTTTGAAAAGTATTGTTCAGTGTAAAAAAAAACCCACAAAAGAAAAAATAAACTAGTTAGAGTACATAAAAATATGTTTCAATACATTTCAATAAGCTGATATTTAAAATAGTGAGAAGGTTTAAAAAAAATGTAATCAGCTCTTTAAGGCAAAGTTTGTAATAAGTTATAGTGTAATTAATCAATTAAAAAAAACTAAAACTTGAGTTCTAAATGATAAAAAATGTTTTTGTTATTTGTCCAGTTTGACTCTGATAAAATCTGAATCAGCAGCTGATTCAAGTAGCATTTCATAACCAAACCGGTGAACTCAGTCAATAAGCTGATTGGGTATCTATATCACTCAAGGCTTCTATTTTGATTTTCAAGTCAAATTTGAATATCTTCCATTTTTAAATCCCTGGATAGTGGTGTAGAAAGTTGATGGCCCAGTAAAACAATAAATAAATCTTAGCCAAAAAAACAACAGCATGTCTGTATAAACATGGGACAGCATACAGGATCAAGGCCATTAATAAACATGCTGAAACACAGGTTAACACATTCTGTAAACACAGGTTAACACATGATGTAAACAAACACAGGTAAACACATTCTGTAAACAAAACACAGATAAACACATTCTGTAAACACAGGTTAACACATGATGTAAACAAAACACAGGTTAACACATGATGTAAACACATGATGTAAATAAAACACAGGTAAACACATTCTGTAAACAAACAGGTTAACACATGCAGTAAACGAACACAGGTAAGCACATTATGTAAACAAACACAGGTAAACACATTATGTAAACAAACACAGGTAAACACATTATGTAAACAAACAGGTAAACACATGCAGTAAACAAACTCAGGTAAACACATTATGTAAACAAACACAGGTAAACACATTATGTAAACAAACATAGGTAAACACATTATGTAAACAAACACAGGTAAACACATTATGTAAACAAACAGGTAAACACATGCAGTAAACAAACACAGGTAAACACATGCAGTAAACAAACACAGGTAAACACATGCAGTAAACAAACTCAGGTAAACACATTATGTAAACAAACACAGGTAAACACATTATGTAAACAAACACAGGTAAACACATGCAGTAAACAAACACAGGTAAACACATTATGTAAACAAACACAGGTAAACACATTATGTAAACAAACACAGGTAAACACATTATGTAAACAAACAGGTAAACACATGCAGTAAACAAACTCAGGTAAACACATTATGTAAACAAACACAGGTAAACACATTATGTAAACAAACACAGGTAAACACATTATGTAAACAAACACAGGTAAACACATGCAGTAAACAAACACAGGTAAACACATGCAGTAAACAAACTCAGGTAAACACATGCAGTAAACAAACACATGCAGTAAACAAAACACAGGTAAACACATGCAGTAAACAAACACAGGTAAACACATGCAGTAAACAAACACAGGTAAACACATGCAGTAAACAAACACAGGTAAACACATGATGTAAACAAACACAGGTAAACACATGCAGTAAACAAACACAGGTAAACACATGATGTAAACAAACACAGGTAAACACATACAGTAAGCAGGCACACATGTTTTATCACAAAGTCCAGGCTGTTTGAGCGTATCACAGTTAGTCAGCAGTTATTGATAAAGCCTTGAGGTCAGCAAGTGCTCGGTGAATCTGTGAAACATAATCATGCTTGGACTGCTCGTTATGGCCGTTCATTAAGTAAGACAGCTCTCCATACACTTTTACTGCCTCTGTGGTGTACTGGACCTACAAGAAACCAGAAAAACAAACAAACCTGTTCAATCAAAACAAACAAACCTGGTTCAATTCAAGAACTTTTTTCACAAAGAAAAGGTAAGTCAGCTGGTAATTACCTGCGCTTTGATATCAGCTTCCAGTGAAGGCTGGAAGTAATCAGTTCTGTTTTCAATCATCTTAGGAATGTCTTGCATTAAAGCCGTGTTTTGACTGCTGAAGTCTGCTTGTGCTGCTGCTAAGGCTTTTTTACTCTAGGAAATAGAAAATCAGTTTTGTCAAAAAACTATACAACAGGTCAGTCACATATATCTGATGTTGTGTGGTCAGTCACACATATCTGATGTTGTGTGGTCAGTCACATATATCTGATGTTGTGTGGTCAGTCACACATATCTGATGTTGTGTGGTCAGTCACACATATCTGTTGTGTGGACAGTCACACATATCTGATGTTGTGTGGTCAGTCACACATATATGTTGTGTGGTCAGTCACACATATCTGATGTTGTTTGGTCAGTCACACATATCTGATGTTGTGTGGTCAGTCACACATATCTGATGTTGTGTGGTCAGTCACACATATCTGATGTTGTGTGGTCAGTCACACATATCTGATGTTGTGTGGTCAGTCACACATATATGTTGTGTGGTCAGTCACACATATCTGATGTTGTTTGGTCAGTCACACATATCTGATGTTGTGTGGTCAGTCACACATATCTGATGTTGTGTGGTCAGTCACACATATCTGATGTGTGGTCAGTCACACATATCTGATGTTGTGTGGTCAGTCACACATATCTGATGTGTTGTCAGTCACACATATCTGATGTTGTGAGGTCAGTCACACATATCTGTTGTCGTGTGGTTATAGACAATACAATTGAAATGTGCAGATATTTTTTATTGCAAGCCAAGATTCAAATTATTTGCTAAGAAAAAAGTGTGAAAAAATAAGTTAATTCAAAGGCTGAAGCAAAAATGTGATTTTAAGGCTTCAAGCACTGTCCACAGTACATATTGATCTGTGAAAGAAATGGTGCCTTGTTTATACCAGTGCCTCATGCTAGAGAGATTGACCAGACAAAACAAGACATAATCTTATCATTGTCGACATGCCAGTGGTGCTACTTCAGCAGTTCTACGAAGGTCAAGGCTAACAGCATGCTGGGATTACCTGCTCTATGCTGCAGGGTTGGCTGAAAAATTTTTTGCTTATGGATCCTTGATTTGGTTTTGTTCCTTGCTTGAAAGTTTTAAAATCCAAAGGTTTAGAATAAAAATATTGTACATGATAACGTTACCTAAGATTGAACATAATATTTAAAGACAATCATGTGAGAGCTGGAAAAAAATAAATACCAAAGAAGACTAGTAAAAATATTATTTAAATTAACAGAACAAAGGGGTATAAAAATGTGTCTGTAATATCAAGCTTGACCACAGAAAAAGTTGCCTACCATATCAAGCTTGACCACAGAAAAAGTTGCCTACCATATCAAGCTTGACCACAGAAAATGTTGCCTACCATATCAAGCTTGACCACAGAAAAAGTTGCCTACCATATCAAGCTTGACCACATTCTGCCCAGTCCGTGTTGTTTCTTGTTGCTTAACAAACTTGTCTTGACATTTTTGGAATTCCTAGGCAATAGACAGGAGTATTTAATTCAGACAGGAGTATTTAATTCAGACAGGAGTATTTAATTCAGACAGGAGAATTTAATTCAGACAGGAGAATTTAATTCAGACAGGAGTATTTAATTCAGACAGGAGAATTTAATTCAGACAGGAGTATTTAATTCAGACAGGAGTATTTAATTCAGACAGGAGAATTTAATTCAGACAGGAGAATTTAATTCAGACAGGAGAATTTAATTCAGACAGGAGTATTTAATTCAGACAGGAGAATTTAATTCAGACAGGAGTATTTAATTCAGACAGGAGAATTTAATTCAGACAGGAGAATTTAATTCAGACAGGAGAATTTAATTCAGACAGGAGTATTTAATTCAGACAGGAGAATTTAATTCAGACAGGAGAATTTAATTCAGACAGGAGTATTTAATTCAGACAGGAGTATTTAATTCAGACAGGAGAATTTAATTCAGACAGGAGTATTTAATTCAGACAGGAGAATTTAATTCAGACAGGAGTATTTAATTCAGACAGGAGTATTAAATTCAGACAGGAGTATTTAATTCAGACAGGAGAATTTAATTCAGACAGGAGAATTTAATTCAGACAGGAGAATTTAATTCAGACAGGAGTATTTAATTCAGACAGGAGAATTTAATTCAGACAGGAGTATTTAATTCAGACAGGAGTATTTAATTCAGACAGGAGAATTTAATTCAGACAGGAGAATTTAATTCAGACAGGAGTATTTAATTCAGACAGGAGTATTTAATTCAGACAGGAGTATTTAATTCAGACAGGAGAATTTAATTCAGACAGGAGTATTTAATTCAGACAGGAGAATTTAATTCAGACAGGAGTATTTAATTCAGACAGGAGAATTTAATTCAGACAGGAGTATTTAATTCAGACAGGAGAATTTAATTCAGACAGGAGAATTTAATTCAGACAGGAGTATTTAATTCAGACAGGAGTATTTAATTCAGACAGGAGAATTTAATTCAGACAGGAGTATTTAATTCAGACAGGAGAATTTAATTCAGTTAAACGAACTATTACATCTTTACAATCAAAATTAAATAAATTATTTCAACCATAAGACATTATTTTTTTCTAGTTTAGAATATGCAAAATTAAAGTAAAATATACTGGCTAAAGATACATCAAAAAAAATTTTAAAACACTAGAGTAAAAAGATACCTGTAAACTTTGTTCACGCTTTTTAATTGCAACTTGAGCATAAGGGAATATACTAACATACCTGTAACAAAGGGAATATACTAAAATACCTGTAACAAAGGGAATATACTAACATACCTGTATCAAAGGGAATATACTAATATACCTGTAACAAAGGGAATACAATCAGCTACACTATACTTGGGATATTTGAATGAAATACAATCATCCCAAGACAATTTTAATTGAAGCAGCTAAACCATCACTGTACAGTGGGTCACAACTTGGTCACTGATCTAATTATATCAAAGTCTCCCCAGAACTTTATAAGGAAACTGAATCGATGGTTATTACTTCAAACATTTTTGTTACTATTACTGAATTATAATCTAACTTATTAATGCACAGTTAAGTATAACATTTCAAATGGATAATATAGACGCAAGCATTATCCTAAAGATGTAAGCATTAACCTAATTGATCGTAGTCAGGTGTCTGTTATTTATTTAACAATTCTAAAACCAGTTTATTATATGAATGAAATTCAAAAACCCATTTTGTTATATGAATGAAATTCAAAAACCCATTTTGTTATATGAATAAAATTCAAAAACCCATTTTGTTATATGAATAAAATTCAAAAACCCATTTTGTTATATGAATGAAATTCAAAAACCCATTTTGTTATATGAATGAAATTCAAAAACCCATTTTGTTTTATGAATGAAATTCAAAAACCTTACTTTTTTAGTGGTTCCAACACAGTTCTTTGCAACAATACATTCTGCAAAATTCAAACATAATTTGTTGTCTTTTAAAATTTTATCTTTGGTAGTCTTGAGTCAAATAATTTTTGGCAGTCTTTAGCTAAATGGTCTTTGGTAGTCTTTAGCCAAATGATCTTTGGTTGTCTTTAGCTAAATGATCTTTGGTAGTCTTTGGCCAAATGATCTTTGGTTGTCTTTAGCTAAATGATCTTTGGCAGTCTTGAGCTAAATGATCTGTGGTAGTCTTTAGCTAAATGATCTTTGGTAGTCTTTAGCTAAATGATCTTTGGTAGTCTTTAGCTAAATGATCTTTGGCAGTCTTTGGTTGTCTTTTGCCACCTGGACTTTGCAGCCTTTGGATCACAGGACACCTAACCTTAGTGTCAGCTATAAAAACAAGACTGACCTTCTCTGTCATGTGCATGTCCATCCTAAGTAGCGCAATCACAGGACACCTAACCTTAGTGTCAGCTATGAAAACAAGACTGACCTTCTCTGTCATGTGCATGTCCATCCTAAGTAGCGCCGAGTCCCACTCATCTATCAGCCTCTTAAAGTGCTCGTCTGACTGGCACAGCTGAGTGCTCATCAAGTCTTGCGACAGTTTGCGCTCAACTTTTGACAGAGCTTTGAAAAATTTAAAATGTATTTTTATAGAGATTTTTTTTAAAATTCAAAAATCTACATTTTTTTCAAGAACTTTCAATAAAAATTAGAAATATATTTCAGACAAAGCTTCAAAATAATAATTTTTTTTAGACAGAGCTTTCAAAAAAAAATATTTTGTTTTATTTGGTTGTTTTAAAAAAAATATTCTAGAACAATTAGACAAAGCAAAATTCTATAGGTTTGATATGTCTGCCTAGTGATCTAAAGCACAGGTTCCCAAACTTTTTCAGGTGGCTACCACTTTTTATGTTACCCGCTAACCCCCTCCAAAAAGCAGATTTTATTGTAGTTTCAGTTCAAGTTGGGACCCAGAAAAAACCCTCGTGACCCACTGTTTGGGAACCTGTGATCTAATGAAAGAATGTACTACCATTATTTGATTCCTTCAAGCGTTTCATGTCTTTGTACAGGCGTCTTGTCAGTTCTTCCAATCTGAAATGTTAGTTTAAATAATTTTCTCAGAAATGTAACATATCCTGTTGTTAAGTGTGGAACCATTTCATTTTGCCTTGTGATGGAACCATTTTGTTTTGTAAGTTTAAAAAAGGGAAAAAAATACAACTGTATCTTCTAGGCCTCAGCAGAGATAAGATACAAGTGAGGTAGAAGATACAGGTCAGGTAGAGATAAGATAAAAGTCAGGTAGAGATAAATGATCTGTGTTGTCAATGGTTAATGATCTGGTTAAGATGTTGCTACCAACCAAGGTTTGATAAGATCATCTTAGTGTTGCTACCAACCATAAGATCATCTTAGTGTTGCTACCAACCATAAGATCATCTTAGTGTTGCTACCAACCATAAGATCATCTTAGTGTTGCTACCAACCATAAGATCATCTTAGTGTTGCTACCAACCATAAGATCATCTTAGTGTTGCTAACAACCAAAGTTTGGTAAGATCATCTTAGTGTTGCCAGTAAAGGCCACAAAAAAATAGAATTAGGTATAACAAAAGTTTTAAACATCAAATTCTTGTATGTCAGAACTAGAAAAGATGAAATAAACAACTTACTCATCCAACTTTTTGACCACGTTGTCAAATTCTTTCTGTTCCTGGAATAAAAGAAAGGTACAAGTGAAACAGATACAGGATACAATTGTAAACCTTCAATCCTCAACACAATGTTGTAGGATACAATTATAAGCATTCAATCCTGAACTAAATGCAGGTTGTAAAATACAAATATCAACCTACAATCCTGAACACAAGTTAGGTGTTCAATTCAGGCTGCCATATTCAATTAAAATTGATGATCACCACTAACCAATCAGAATTTGATTTCTTTAGACATGTAATTTCAACAGTTGTCCGTCCCCCCCCAATCCACCCCTCCTCTACTTTAAACTGTGAGCTGAGAATGAAATGCCAGTGTATAGTTACATTATCTAACAGTGGAGTCATATAGTTACCTAACAGTGGAGTCATATAGTTACATTACCTAAGTGGAGTCATATAGTTACATTATCTAAGTGGAGTCATATAGTTATGTTATCTAACTGTGGAGTCATATAGTTACCTAACAGTGGAGTCATATAGTTACATTACCTAAGTGGAGTCATATAGTTACATTATCTAAGTGGAGTCATATAGTTATGTTATCTAACTGTGGAGTCATATAGTTACCTAACAGTGGAGTCATATAGTTACATTATCTAGGTGGAGTCATATAGTTACCTAACTGTGGAGTCATATAGTTACATTATCTAGGTGGAGTCATATAGTTACCTAACAGTGGAGTCATATAGTTACCTAACAGTGGAGTCATATAGTTACATTATCTAACTGTGGCGTCATATAGTTACATTATCTAACTATGGAGTCATATAGTTATGTTACCTAGCAGTGGAGTCATATAGTTACATTATCTAACTGTGGAGTCATATAGTTACATTATCTAACTGTGGCGTCATATAGTTATGTTATCTAGGTGGAGTCATATAGTTACATTATCTAACTGTGGCGTCATATAGTTATGTTATCTAGGTGGAGTCATATAGTTACATTATCTAACTGTGGCGTCATATAGTTACATTATCTAGGTGGAGTCATATAGTTACATTACCTAAATGTGGCGTCATATAGTTACATTATCTAACAGTGGAGTCATATAGTTACATTATCTAACTGTGGCGTCATATAGTTACATTATCTAACAGTGGAGTCATATAGTTACGTTACCTAACTGTGGAGTCATATAGTTACCTAACTGTGGAGTCATATAGTTACCTAACTGTGGAGTCATATAGTTATGTTATCTAACTGTGGAGTCATATAGTTACATTACCTAAATGTGGCGTCATATAGTTACATTATCTAGGTGGAGTCATATAGTTACATTACCTAAATGTGGCGTCATATAGTTACATTATCTAACAGTGGAGTCATATAGTTACATTATCTAACTGTGGCGTCATATAGTTACATTATCTAACAGTGGAGTCATATAGTTACGTTACCTAACTGTGGAGTCATATAGTTACCTAACTGTGGAGTCATATAGTTACCTAACTGTGGAGTCATATAGTTATGTTATCTAACTGTGGAGTCATATAGTTATGTTTTCTAACTGTGGAGTCATATAGTTATGTTACCTAACTGTGGAGTCATATAGTTACATTATCTAACTGTGGCGTCATATAGTTACATTATCTAACAGTGGAGTCATATAGTTACATTATCTAACAGTGGAGTCATATAGTTATGTTACCTAACTGTGGAGTCATATAGTTACATTATCTAACAGTGGAGTCATATAGTTATGTTACCTAACTGTGGCGTCATATAGTTACATTATCTAACAGTGGAGTCATATAGTTACATTATCTAACAGTGGAGTCATATAGTTATGTTACCTAACTGTGGAGTCATATAGTTACATTATCTAACTGTTGAGTCATATAGTTACATTATCTAACAGTGGAGTCATATAGTTATGTTACCTAACTGTTGAGTCATATAGTTATGTTACCTAACTGTGGCGTCATATAGTTACCTAACTGTGGAGTCATATAGTTATGTTACCTAACTGTGGAGTCATATAGTTATGTTACCTAACTGTGGAATCATATAGTTACATTACCTAAATGTGGAGTCATATAGTTACATTATCTAACTGTGGAGTCATATAGTTACATTATCTAACTGTGGCGTCATATAGTTACCTAACTGTGGAGTCATATAGTTACATTACATAACTGTGGAGTCATATAGTTACATTATCTAACTGTGGCGTCATATAGTTACATTATCTAACTGTGGCGTCATATAGTTACATTATCTAACTGTGGCGTCATATAGTTACATTATCTAACTGTGGCGTCATATAGTTACATTATCTAACTGTGGCGTCATATAGTTACATTATCTAACTATGGAGTCATATAGTTATGTTACCTAACTGTGGAGACATATAGTTACATTATCTAACAGTGGAGTCATATAGTTATGTTTTCTAACTGTGTAGTCATATAGTTATGTTACCTAACTGTGGAGTCATATAGTTATGTTACCTAACTGTGGAGTCATATAGTTACATTACATAACTGTGGAGTCATATAGTTATGTTATCTAACTGTGGAGTCATATAGTTATGTTTTCTAACTGTGTAGTCATATAGTTATGTTACCTAACTGTGGAGTCATATAGTTATGTTACCTAACTGTGGAGTCATATAGTTACATTACATAACTGTGGAGTCATATAGTTATGTTATCTAACTGTGGAGTCATATAGTTATGTTTTCTAACTGTGGAGTCATATAGTTATGTTACCTAACTGTGGAGTCATATAGTTATGTTATCTAACTGTGGAGTCATATAGTTACCTAACCGTTGAGTCATATAGTTATGTTTTCTAACTGTGGAGTCATATATTTACCTAACTGTGGAGTCATATAGTTACATTACCTAACTGTGGAGTCATATAGTTAAGTTACCTAACTGTGGAGTCATATAGTTATGTTACCTAGCAGTGGAGTCATATAGTTATGTTATCTAACTGTGGAGTCATATAGTTATGTTACCTAACTGTGGAGTCATATAGTTAAGTTACCTAACTGTGGAGTCATATAGTTATGTTACCTAGCAGTGGAGTCATATAGTTATGTTATCTAACTGTGGAGTCATATAGTTACATTAACTGTGGAGTCATATAGTTATGTTACCTAACTGTGGAGTCATATAGTTATGTTACCTAACTGTGGAGTCATATAGTTATGTTACCTAACTGTGGAGTCATATAGTTACATTAACTGTGGAGTCATATAGTTATGTTTTCTAACTGTGGAGTTGATAATTACAAAAAACAATAGAGAAACAATCATCTAATTAAAGAAATGAGTAAACAAAAGACAACAGAGAAACAATCCTCTTGCTAGTCTTGTACTCACATTTCTAGAGATGACAGGTTTCTTCTGGGCAGATGATGATCTACTGAATGGGTTCCTGAAAGATATTTAATGACACAAAACTTGAGATCTTCTGGATTATCTACAATATCACACAGATATTCTGGATTATCTACCATACCACATATATATTCTGGATTATCTACCATATCACACAGATATTCTGGCTTATCTACAATATCACACAGATATTCTGGATTATCTACAATATCACATAGATATTCTGGATTATCAACCATATCACACAGATATTCTGGATTATCAACCATATCACACAGATATTCTGGATTATCTACAATATCACACAGATATTCTGGATTATCAACCATATCACACAGATATTCTGGATTATCAACCATATCACACAGATATTCTGGATTATCTACAATATCACACAGATATTCTGGATTATCTACAATATCACACAGATATTCTGGATTATCTACAATATCACACAGATATTCTGGATTATCAACCATATCACACAGATATTCTGGATTATCAACCATATCACACAGATATTCTGGATTATCAACCATATCACACAGATATTCTGGATTATCAACCATATCACACAGATATTCTGGATTATCAACCATATCACATAGATCTTCTGGTTTATCAACTTTATCAAATAGATATTCTGGATTATCAACCATATCACACAGATATTCTGGATTATCAACAATAGAACATAGATATTCTGGATGTAGAGTTGAAGACATAAAAGACAATCAGCAACAAAGTTAACAAATCATCTGTAGTTTTTGTAAGGAAGAGATTGTAATTTACATACAAATCAAAATGTCTCACAATGCAATTTACTGGTGTAAAGAAGGAGCTAGATTTCATTCTACTATCCTCCTAATGCACATTTGATATTGAGCTCCCTTCCCCTCACACCCCTCTACATCAAGTATAATAGGTAACAGGTGGTGGTCTAAAAATAGAATCAGATGAACAAGGTACTGGTTCCACTATTTAACATATTTGCTAACAACAAAAATTTGTCAGAAGCTTCAGTTGAACAGATTCCACTACTTAACTTCACATATTTGCTAACAACAAAAATTTGTCAGAAGCTTCAGTTGAATAGATTCCACTACTTAACTTCACAAATTTGCTGACAAAATAAAATGTGAGAAGCATAAACAATTATTTACACAGGACTAACCCAACCTACCTAACTAAAACTAACAAGATTATTAAGCTGGTAGTTAACTAAATACAAATATATGTCTTCGCAAACACTGCGTCTAACCCTTACCCATCAAATCATAGTCCAAACCCTTATTTCTGACCATAATACTAAACCTGATTACACAAAATTTTAACAGCCTTATTGTAGGACATCGGTTATACCTATACTCTGCATATTGGTATGGCCTTATCATGAGCACACTTCTCTCTTTCTGTCCACAACATTTTTTAGGCTATATGATCAGTATGTTCAGCGATATAAGGAGAACTTAAAGATACAGACTTTTGTTGAAAATAATACGTTGGATGTTTTAAGTGTATAAAATAAATTTTATTTAAAGAAAAAATAAAAATAAAGCAATATATATTTGAATGTAGAAACATATTTTTAATTATGTAACCAGAAAAGTGTTTATGGTTGTGACTAGAAAGCAAAAAAACAATGACATCACATGCCACATGTTTAAACTAAAAACAATGATATCACATGCCACATGTTTAAACTACGGAAAGTACACAAAACTAATGGTATCATCTTCTAATTTTAGAATATGAAGAAATAAACTATTTCATTCAAATTTGATTTAGATCTACTTATCAAAACGTACGCTGTAAAATGTATACAATTTTCTCGGCTTAAACTAATACAAATTATTTTGAAAAACAACATAACTATGACTGAACAGCCGGGTTTTTAATGAAATCATCAAAGTCTCTTAATCAGCGTGTGCATTTAATATGGTGTTGTGTAGACTAATAATGTATATAATTTGGGTTTTCTAATAGATATTGATAGCCAATATTATTTTAAACTTTAGGGGAAACCACTCTTGCTCTCAAACAATGCTAGGGGAAACCACTCTTGCTCTCAATCAATGCTGTTTGAAGTTACTTTATGGCCTATATTAATATCAACATATTTAGACATTGCGTTTGGTTTATGATAGAATTATCTATTATATTTTAAAAATATATCACAATATATGAATATACTTGTATTAAAGCTATTTTTAATGAGTCACCTTTCTTTCACAATACTGGCTTTGGCAGATGATTTTTTTGTACCTCTCTCGACAGCTAACTTATACTTTAATTATTTATACTATTAATAATTTAAAATTTTAGTTTGGTTTGGATGTTGGTAAATAGCAATACGAAACAGCAAGGCGGTGAATTGCCAGAAGAAAATGTGAGACCTACCTGCCAAATCACTGGAAATAATGAGACACAATTTACAAGACTTTTTTTTCAAAGCTTTTAGTGGTTTGTATTTTCTACAGATATGCGAGATAAAAAGCAATAAAGATTTATCACATGTGTTGTATTTTATTCTAGTTTTATAATTTTCTTCTTGATCCAGTTTAGATTTTTAAATAATAAAAAAATCTTAATATCTCATGTACTTAGTACTTAGTTTTCTTGTCAGCGGGAGAAAAAATAACGTCTCTGTCAACTGGTCATTTTGATTACTTTAGAATATATTTTTAAAAATCTATCTCTAGATCTATATTTAGAACTTGAAACTATTGTCGCCTGCTCACTATATTTTTGTCTGAGCAAGAAAAATACAGCCGTTTGAGGGGTCACAGACAGTGCATACAAAAACTTTAACATGGGTCTTAGCCTGAACAATAGCAATATGACAGATGTGCTTGGGGTCATTGTGAGTTCATATAATCTTGTCAGCGGGAGAAATATTCAGTCACATTGTTAATATAAGGATAATACATTCTGATCTTTAACACTGTATTGTTGTAATTGTAAAAATTTAAAATGCTGTATTTCAGGTGGTTTTGAACAAGGTTGTATTCTCAGTTGACACAAAAAAAACGTTGATAAATGATTCACTGGTCTAGCAACGAAAAATCGTTAAGTTGTAACAATAAAAACAAAAGTTTTTAAAATCTGCCATATGGATCTAGTTTATTATAAAGTGGATGCAGTATAATTTTTGCAGACACATTTTACCCCCACCCAGAGGCGTAGCAACCCTTCCCGGCGCCCGGGGACAAACTTTTGATTTGCACCCCCCTCAAACTTTCGATTTGCACCCCACCCCTCAAACTTTCAATTTGTAACCCCCTCAAACTTTTGATTTGCAACCCCCCCCCCTCAAACTTTCAAATTGCACCCCCTCAAACTTTCAATTTTCACCCCCCCCCCCCCCCTCAAACTATTTATAATGCAAAAATGACATTTTAATTTGTTTTTAAAACCCATTTTGGCGCTACTGGGGGGGGGGGGGGAACATACGCCCCCGGGCGCCGATCTTAGGGGGCGGCAAAATGTGTCGGAAAAATAAATTGAAAGGTTGAGGGGGGGGGGGGTGTGCAAATCGAAATCTTGAGGGGGGGGGGTGCAAATCGAAAAGTTTGTCCCCGGGCGCCGGGAAGCGTCGCTACCCCTCTGGCGCCCCCTAAGGTCGGCGCCCGGGGACATATGTACCTCCCTGCCCCCCCCCCCCATCGCTAAGCCTCTGCCCCCACCCAGTAGAAATATTGGATATGGATATGATGCGACACAAAAAAAATTATAAAATGTCATGTGACTGGCTGTTTTTGCACCCTTCTTGCAATTTACTGTCTCGCCATTTCGCAATTTACCAGCACCCATATTTACTTAATTTAATTTATAATATAGACCTAGAATATGTTTATTTAGTATTTAGCCCTGCCCTAGGCCAGGCTAGACTAATAATTTTAGCCTATTACTATTTATTATTTATTTAACTGTCTTTTTATACTTTACTTACCAGCTCATTTTTGCTTTGACTTGGCCTTAAAATCCTTTTAGTTTAAATGAAGTCTTCACTAGTTATTAGTAGAGTTTGGTTGTTCATAACATTAATAAAAAATAATATCATAAAATAATTTTAATGTAATGTTTGTATTATTTGTAACCTTTTATTTACTAAAAAGTAGTAAACAGTGATTAGTTGTTATCAAAGTAACAACATTGAAACATTCTAAAAGTTATTTTTCAAAAACATTATTTTTAAAAAGCCTACCAACCAACTAGAGATCTATTCTAGATCTAGAAATCTATACTTATACTTATACTAGGGCAGGGGCCTAATACATTTTAGGTATTTCATTTTTTTAGGCCTCGAGAAAACTAAAAACAGTGATAGATCTATAGACTAGTAGGCCTATAATAAATAAAAATAGATCTAGGCCTAGATCTAGTTTAGTAGTTATGATTAAAGTATTTGCCAGATATAACAATGAGAAAAGAGCCCTATGAGCCCTAACATTAGTGAAAATATGTGTGGAAAAAACTAATTTTAAATACATTAAGAAATAAAGAAACACACAGAGCTAGATCTACTTGATCAACACATTAACCGATTAACAGAGAAATCTTATAAAACATCCTGCTAATTCTATTTCTTGGATTTATAAATTTAATTTCTTGTATAGCCTGATGCAAATGTTATTTCATTTACTAAAATTTACTTCCTTTGAAAGTAGTTTTAAATTATTTACAAATGTTTATAAAGTATAAAGACCGATGGGGTTATTATTTTCACTGCGATATCATAGACCCTATGCTTATTATTATTAATATTGCAATTTTATTTCAACTACCAATTTTGTTTCCAAAAGCCAATATGGTCATCCTGTCTTCTGTGTGTTTCGCAGTTTCGCTTCTAGTCTTTCATACTCTCTAAATATAAACAAACCAACTTTATCAATTTGTAAAATAAATTTTCACTGTCGTCGAAAAATTACCTCAGTATAAATTTGCTTTGTTTTATGCTTAGGTTGTAGGTTTAATACTGCGCGTAGACAATCACAAATACAAATTTTAGTAACAAAAAAGTGATTTTAGTAGGAATTTTGGAGATTATCTAAGACTTCACATCGTAAGCTACCTTCTTTTTGATATGGTTGGGCTAGACCTGCCGTTACTTTTATAAATTAAAATAATGGTGGCACCCATACAAAAACTCGTCCATCTTTCATCCAAGATATTTGGAAGTCTGACACCAGATAAAATCACCAAAGATCACTTGTCACCCTTAATTAGGGCAATTAACGATATTAAAATAGAAGATGTACAGTTTGATCCGAGGGAAGTGGAAGAACAAGATGCCCAATCTAGGTTGTACAACCGCCGGAGGGCTCCAGTAACTTACATGCATTTGTTTCAAGACAAATCATTTTCAATGTCAGTATTCATTGTAAAATCAGGGGGAGTATTACCTCTTCACGACCATCCAAAGATGCATGGTCTTTTAAAAGTTATTTATGGTACATTAAAAATAATATCATACACGGAAGTTAATAAACAAGTTTTTCCTGACGACTTGTTAACTACTCATCATCCCCAAACCAGATCATTCTACAGGAACATAAAAACTGTGCGAAGAAACAATGATCTGATTGTAACTGATGAGGATGGCTGTTGTATATTGACACCAACTGATGGAAACATTCATGAAATACATTCTGAAACTCAAATGGCAGCATTCCTAGACATCTTGGCACCACCCTATGAAAATGATGCTACTTGTCATTATTATCAAGAATTACCTTCCTCTACAAGCACTGACTCAACTAGATGGCTTTTAGAAATTCCCCAACCTAATAGTTATTGGTGTAATACTATAAGCTACAAGGGACCATCATTAGACAATTTAGATGTTTGATCATGGTTGATGCTTCCCATTCTATAAAACAAATATAATTATAAAATATAAGCCTTTATATTATAAATTAATATTATTATTATAAAATATTAATTACCATACAAAAACATGTTTGTAAGCCTGTTTGTAATTTGAAGATGTATTTTTGCCAGTAAGAGTATAGCAATCCTAGGTCTAACCCAAACCCATATTTTGACCCTAACGTCAGTGCAGGCAGTATAAAGCATTAAATCCTAAACAGAATAATGACAAATCTGATTTAATCCTACTTTAAATCAGTTTCACCAAGAGCACTTATACTTTTGCTATAGGCCGTAGACCAGTCATATTTGTACAGTTCCCTTTATATCTTAAGGTTGACAAGGACATACCTAACAGTGGCGTCAGATGTTGTATGACAACCAATGTTACCCCCTTCCCCAATGACAATATTTATGATGTGTTAAAATTTTAGGCACTGCTGTGTCAGTCCATCCCCAGATGGCATCATCCTGTTTTTAATCACATCGATACATTTTTTACTAACTGGAAACTGCAAATATTCCAATTCAATTAGCTATATTCTATTTTGGTGTCACCCCTTAGGATAGTGTCACTTGCCTGGACCTTCCCCCCCCCCCCTCCCCCACTTCCCCCCCCCCTCCCCCACCTTGTGATGCTACTGATATCTAGTATGTCTGTTTGCCCTAATCTTGCCCATCTAAGTGATACTACTTTGTTCATCACTGGCTGTTGATAGCTGCTTATAAATAATTACATGAAAATTGTTCTCTTCTTCTAGAGACAGTGATTTTTTTTTAGCTGCAGCACTGGCTTGTAACTGATAGCACCAAAGTATTTGTCCTGCATCACAGATTGTTGATTGTTTATCTTCAAATGTTACCATGTTATTTTAAGAGCCATTGTTGATGTTGTCATTTGGTTAAACAAGTAAAGATCATCTAAGCATTTGTCTTCAACTAACAGAAACATAGACCTTTTAGAAATGACGTGCACATTTGACATAATAGTGTGTAGGCCTACTTTCCATATTTTGAGTAATATGCATTTGCAACTGTAAGTTGACAAATAGTCATTTTAGAATTTTAATCGACCCATGTAAAAATTTTAAAATATAATAATCAATAAAAAAAAGGAATAAAAACCCAATAATGTTTTAGATGCTCTTGAAATTGACATGAATAACATTTGTAATTTGTTGGTTTAAAAGAATTTATTGAAAGATGTGTTTCTGGTTTTTTTTAATGCAATATTTTGATAATAGTTAAATAATTTATTTGTAATTGTTACAAAGATATGTGTATATATCTTTACACTAATGGGTTTATTGTTTGATGTCATATGTGTGTACTAATGTTGATGTGTTTAATAAAAGAAACATAAAATTGTATTAATTATTCATGAAATCAGTGTTGCTTTAAAAGCAAATATTGATTAGGCTGAATGTTGTTGTAGAATACTCTAATGTGAATAATGTGTGATGTACTGTAACTAGTACAATGTGTGATGTACTGTATCTAGTACAATGTGTGATGTACTGTAACTAGTACAATGTGTGATGTACTGTAACTAGTACAATGTGTGATGTACTGTAACTAGTACAATATGTGATGTACTGTAACTAGTACAATGTGTGATGTAACTAGTACAATGTGTGATGTACTGTAACTAGTACAATGTGTGATGTACTGTAACTAGTACAATGTGTACTGTAACTAGTACAATGTGTGATGTACTGTAACTAGTACAATGTGTGATGTACTGTAACTAGTACAATGTGTGATGTAACAAGTACAATGTGTGATGTAACTAGTACAATGTGTGATGTACTGTAACTAGTACAATGTGTGATGTAACAAGTACAATGTGTGATGTACTATAACTAGTAAAATGTGTGATGTAACAAGTACAATGTGTGATGTACTGTAACTAGTACAATGTGTACTGTAACTGGTACAATGTGTGATGTACTGTAACTAGTACAATGTGTTATGTAACAAGTACAATGTGTGATGTACTGTAACTAGTACAATGTGTGATGTACTGTAACTAGTACAATGTGTGATGTAACAAGTACAATGTGTGATGTACTGTAACTAGTACAATGTGTGATGTACTGTAACTAGTACAATGAATGATGTACTGTAACTAGTTCATTTGATCTTTTATTTTTACATGCTTAATGTTCTGCTGAAATTCTACGTGTATTGCATTAGTCTTTCAAAGTTTTTAATAAATAAGTATAAATAAGATTTTAATTTTAAAATTTTTGTTTTCAGTTAAACTTAAACTGTGTTTGGATATAGCTTTAGTCTTACTAATGTTGCTATGTAATTATAAATATATAATTGGATAGAAAACATATATATATATATATATATATATATATATATATATATATATATATATATATATATATATATATATATATATATATATATATTTGTATATATATATATATATCTATATATATCTATATCTATATATATATATATATATATATATATATATATATATATATATATATATATAGGCTATATATATATATATATATATATATATATATATATATATATATATATATATATATATATATATATATATATATATATATATATATATATATCTATATATATATATATATATATATATATATATATATATATTAACCTTTTGTGAATTAAGATTTCTCATTAATAAATGGAAACCCTACTTGTTTTACTCTATCAATGAAACCACATGTGAATGAGTTGTCCTATTGATAACCATGTTTGTAATAATCTCTTCAGAATTGTAAGACTTAAGTAACATTGATTTACTGGTTTTTTTTCAAATTGAACTTGTTGTTCAGATTAATCCAATTAAAGATAACTTGTGGAGAAAAAAATGTTTTTATATTATCAATACAAAGTGATCAGGTCACAGTCATGTGTAAGTTTATGTGTCAGTTAATGTCATGTTTTGTCATCAAATGTCTTGTGCCACATGTCAGTTAATGTCTAGTCATGTGATATATGTCAGCAGATGTCTTGTGCCACATGTCAGTTAATGTCTAGTCATGTGATATATGTCAGCAGATGTCTTGTGCCACATGTCAGTTAATGTCTAGTCATGTGATGTCTGTCAGTAGATATCATTAGTATAGCTACTCATAACCTACAGCCAAGATTTGAATTTTCAAAAGATGGAAAAAAAATATTTTAAGAAAGAGTGTTTTGAGTTGAATGAGTTAAATATAAAAACTTAAGACCTCTTTAGTACTAACTCCACCCCCTCACTCTCCGCTTTTTTTGTAGCAATCATTTTTATTTTATTTTGTAATGATATTTTTGAATGTAGGCCCCTACTGAAGTAAAAGTCAGTTTGGAGTTATTTCCCTTAGACTGCACAGAGATGTTTGGCCTAAATAAAATGTGAACGAGATGGTGTGGTGTTTACAAACAAACTAGTCCAGTATGTATAGTAGACGGGATGTTACGGTGTTTTGATACAAACAACTAGTCCAGCATGTATAGTAGACGGGATGTTACGGTGTTTTGATACAAACTAGTCCAGTATGTATAGTAGACGGGATGTTACGGTGTTTTGATACAAACAACTAGTCCAGCATGTATAGTAGACGGGATGTTACGGTGTTTTGATACAAACAACTAGTCCAGCATGTATAGTAGACGGGATGTTACGGTGTTTTGATACAAACTAGTCCAGTATGTATAGTAGACGAGATGTTACGGTGTTTTGATACAAACAACTAGTCCAGCATGTAAAGTAGTAAGGTAGGACCATGCGCCTGCTTGCAAGTTGTGTTCACGTCCAGGTGTTAGTTTATTGACAACATTTGTTTTTTTTTAGTTTGGCTTAGGTCATGAGGTCATGTAAACCCGTTGTGTGGCTTAGGTCATGTAAACCCGTTGTGTGGCTTAGGTCATGTAAACCCGTTGTGTGGCTTAGGTCATGTAAACCCGTTGTGTGGCTACTAGACTTGGCTAAATTTAAACTTCCCTGTGGCTGTAGTAGAGATGCTGCCTACACCATTTACCATGTAGACTACAAGCTACCAATCGTTTGTTTATTCACAGTTGCACAGCCTAAGACCACGCGATAGTACCCTGGTACAGTAATATCACTTGATTGTACCCTGGTACAGTAATATTACACGGTTGTATCCTGATGTAAGATTACCACTAGCCACTAATTCGATAATAATTCTAAACACTACTGGGGGGGGGGTATCAACTCACGAAGTGTCACGGTTGGCTGGTTACAACTGAGCAGTTGCCACTAAACAATGACGAAACGTATTAGACGCTGGCAACGTGACCACAGTGGTTGTAGCAGACAATGGGGTCAGTGGCGCGTGACTCGCCAGACAGTCCGTTAAGTTGGCCTGGAGCAGAAGTTGCCACTATCAACATTGCCATCTCTTACAGCAAGCTGCCACACCATCGTCTGCTCATGTAATAATCAACAGCCTGCACATTATTCAGTGGCATCTTGTACCAGAATAAACAGGTATACTTTCATTGGCGCCTTGTACCAGAATAAACAGGTGACATCTTGTACCAGAATAAACAGGTGGCATCTTGTACCAGAATAAACAGGTATACTTTCATCAGCGTCTTGTAACAGACTGAATAAGCAGGTATACTTTCAGTGGCATCTTGTACCAGAATAAACAGGTATACTTTCATTGACGTCTTGTATCAGAATAAACAGGTATACTTTTAGTGGCATCTTGTACCAGAATAAACAGGTATACTTTCATTGACGTCTTGTATCAGAATAAACAGGTATACTTTTAGTGGCATCTTGTACCAGAATAAACAGGTATACTTTCATTGGCATCTTGTACCAGAATAAACAGGTATACTTTCATTGGCGTTTTGTACCAGAATAAATAGGTATACTTTTGTTGGCGTCTTGTACCAGAATAAACAGGTATACTTTCATTGACGCCTTGTACCAGAATAAACAGGTATACTTTCATTGACGCCTTGTACCAGAATAAACAGGTATACTTTAGTTTTTCCCCGCTTGGCGTCCTAGTTGACCATCGCTTCCTGTTCCTGTGTGTCACGTGATTGCGACACACACTGGCTCTCGCTATTGATCCGGACACCCACCTTCGCTAAACTTGTGTCGCAACGTCCACAGTGCTAGGGGTAGGGACAGATGGTCAGCTGGACAGTTGTCAATGTTAAATGGACAGCTGTCAGGCAGTTTCTTCCAGGCATCTCTTCGGGGGGGGGGGGGGGGGGGCGGGCGAAGAAAGTCTACCCCCCCCCCCGAACGAAATGGAATTTATATAGAAAATATATACTTTTAACAGTGTCCACCCCCCAGAGGCGTAGCGATGGGGGGGGGGGGGGGGCAGGGGGTACATATGTTCCCGGGCGCCGACCTTAGGGGGAGCCAAAATGGGTTGTAATACAAATTAAAATGTCATTTTAGCTGCACTTTTGCATTATAAATAGTTTGAAGGGGGGGGGGGAGGGGTGCAAATCAAAAGTTTGAGGGGGGGGGGGGGTGCACATTAAAAATTTGAAAATTTGCTCCCGAGGGGGACGCCAAATTGAAAGTTTGTCACCGGGCGCCGGGAAGGGTCGCTACG